ACTGAGGAGTGTGCTTGTTTATCTTCATCTGCCGATCATTAATGCAATTTCCAGCATTGTGTTACTTTTTGCAAGCCTTAAAGTCATTCAACATTTCTCTCTGTTTTAAAGCTTAAAATTTGCAACGTGCCTAATAATTTAAGATTTCTTCCAAATGGCTATCGATGGATTAAATCGGCACAATGAACTGACTTTCATCGTAACTGTACACATAGATGTTGCCATCATTCAAAAAATAAATCTTTAAATTTCAATAAGTATCTCTTTTTATAACGATGAAACATGAAGTAGTTAATAATTTAATTCTTGGAATGCTAACATAATTTAAGAGCGTATTAACAATTTGGTATATTAGTGTATCTCAGTTGTACGATAAATGTGGCGAAGGTTGGAAATGAATGTGTCATACCGGCTTATATCGTCTTCAAATGTTTGAATTTTAATTTTTTTAAGTGTAAGTTTTATGAATATTAAGTATTTATTGTATATACGTATGTACGCAAGTCTAATTATATTTAACTATTTATCTGCGTATGATATTTGATATCTATTTCTGTCTAGAGAAATATGAACGTCCGTAATTTTTGTCATTCTCCCATCTGATCATTTCCCTTTTAATGTCTTCCTTTTCTTCAAAACTCACAACCTTTTCTTCGATCTTCTTCTGATCTTTCTTCGTTTGTATGCGAGTCGTTAAACTCACAAATAGCAACAGATATGCACTCCTCAAATTCTCCAATCCTAATTTAATGCGCCCGTCATTTTTCCTTTCTTTTCTGTCCAGACAAGAATCAACAAGGAATACTTTCATGGAAGCATTACGAAGAATAAATAAATAAAATCACAAAATAAAATGCAATAAAGAAAAAAGAAATGAAAGTTGCTTTTAACCACCGATCATTTCCTAAAAATAATTGTAGCTAAAATGAACTGAACAGCAATTTAAATAAATATTTTTTAAAACATGTTTTTTTTTTAAATCCAAAAATAACAAAATGACCGAAACATTTGTTCATATTCTATTTTCCTAGCTTTGTTTTGTCAATTCAAGTGTTGTTCTTTTTTGTTTTATGCCGACGCTTCTGCAATGATTTCTCCACTCTAGCCTTTCCTTTCAATTTTCATTCTCTCATCCATTTTCTTTCGGCTTTTTAATTTTTTACTCTTCCTTTCCCCAATTTCTGTCTGGCTACTCTACGTCCCAATTTCAGCAAGTCTAACTTTATTTTATTTTCATTACTCCATGCAATTTTGATGGCGGCTTTTAGCTTCTTGAAGCGAAAATAATCAACTCTCACTTTTCTCCGACTTGACGCCATACCGTAAAAAAAGAAAAAGCGAAACAAAAAGTATATAAAAATACAAAACCTCATACATTTATCTTTTTCTTTTAGATATTTTCTGTCAACACCAAATCTGATAACTGATTGATTTTCAGCTATTGTCTCTTGTTTTATATGTCCGGTTTTTAAGACGGTCAAGCAACAGTCCCCTGAGCTCCCCCCCCCCGCCACACACACAGAGGTCGCGGAGAAGAAACCATCTGTCTGTTGCATTCATTAGCTTTTTTCTTTTTTCTTCACTATAAAAACTAGGCTAAAACTGAACAGATTCTTCCAATGAACAAATGAATAGTTGTAATCACCGACTTTTCACACCAGTTGTGTCTTGTGACTTTCACTTGTGATCAAATGACGTCAAATGCCTTCAATGCTCCAGCCTTCTCCACAATATTCTATATCATTATATATATAAATCATTGAGCTTTCATAAGAGTCGTATCTGGTGGATTTCAAATAAAAATTGATTAGCAGCAAATATCTCAATATTCTACCAATCTCCACATAATTCTACATTATCATACTCGTGCCCATTTTCTTTCAAACCAGTCGTATCTGGAGGCTTTTACTGGAGTGCAAGTTTCCTCAATTTCTCAGCACCCTTCTCAGTATTCTGTATAATTATATCCGTAATCACTGAGTTTTCACAACTGTTGTATCGTGTGGACTTGAACAAGACATGAAGCAACAGAAAGTTTTCTCGATATCCCAGCACTCTTCTCAATTCTATATTTTATTATATTTCTAATCGTTGTACTTTCGTTTCCTGTATATCAGCATTCTATATCATTACATACACAATCGAACCAGTTTTATATAGTGTCTCTCACTGGAGTGAGACACCAAATAAAACTGGCGTGATCAATTGGCAGCAAATATTCTTAATGTTCCAGCGCCTTCCGGTGTATTCTCCATTATTACATTTACAGTCATTGTGTTTTCTAAATATTTCACAGAAGACAGTGACAATACATTTGTTGAGTGCCCAGCGCCTTTCTCAGTATCCTATATTATTATAATCACAATGATTGTATTTTTATGCCAGTCATATTTAGCAGATTTTACATAAGACCAAGTGACAGCAAGTATCCTTATTTACAATGAAAGTTGCTAAATGTTCTATATTATATTCTTAATTATTGAATTTTCATATACAGTGGTTTTCATTGGATATCAGACAACGATATGTTTCCGCAATACATCAGACCTCTTCTTAGTTGTCTATATTAGTAATGATATATATTAGTGCGAAGAGACCTGTAATAATTATCTGTATCTGAGAAGGGATTTCACTGAAGATGAGGTTTCTTCAATACACCCCACTCCCGATACGCATTCTATATCATCATAATTGTAATCATTGTTTTCACGCCTATCGTATTTGTAGGATCTCTTTCACCTGAGATCAAATTACAGCACGTATTCTTAATTTCACAGTGACTACCTGAATAGTCTATAATTTAATGGCTAATAATTGAGTTTTAACACCACATATATTCAGTGGTTTCATTATGATCTCTAGTTACCTTTCATAGTGTAAATATTTCCGTGAAACCATTCATTAGCTTTTGCAAAATTGGGAAAATTTAAAAATAGATTAATAGTATATTAAACTATTAATCATCGCTCTCGTGGCTACTTGTCTCAATTGATTGGCGGTGTTAAAACGTAAATGCTTTGTCTTTTTTTTTTATCAGTTCACTCAAAGCAAGACGGAAGGGGTTGCTAAGAGTGAAAGAAAATTAGAAGAATTTAGAAGGAACCAAAAACTCAATCCTAAACAGGAAACAAGGGATAAAGTCTTGGTGAATTAAGGAATATACCGTTGAATAACAGAGATTTACTTGTCAGTTACCTGATTTTAACCAGTTTGGGGCTGTTGCACTGTGCATCGTAGTTCATGTGCAAGAATAGTGGGAGAATATCATAGCTGGTTGTAGATTTAGGTTTGTTTTGTTGTTGTTGTTAAATATGACCCTTAAAATCACTACACAATGAGACTCAGATTTGTGATCAGGCTTTCGATTTACTAATCTCCCCTAGTGTGGTTCGGTGAAATTTTAGAAATTTTTCCTCGGGTTTATTTTACCAACATAATTTATGATAAATTTAAGTTGTGTTTTTTATACTACAAAATACCGACATATTTATATTTTCAACTGAAAGATTATCAACAGTTGAGATGCCTTGTGACGTGTGGTAACAAAGTACGAGTTGTTTCTGATGTGAATATATATAACACGGTGCTAAACTACTAATTAATTATAACCAGAAATATTTAATAATGAGTTCAAAATCTGATTATTATATTTGATAATGTGATAATAACAGAAAGAAAAATGACACCGTAGACTCCTGCAACTTGGACTTGCTAGTACCATAAGCTATTAAATCCTCAAATATTATTTTTTCCAAAAATACTTAGCTAATTATAGGATGGATCTTACTACTTACAGCACCTTAGCATACGGGAAATATGGTACTTAAATGAAACTTGCAAATAAATAAAATATAAATTTGCTCCATTTCAAATAAACGATGTGTTTAAAAACAAAGGGAGATAATTGACAACTGCGATTAAAAAAAACGTAAATGTTCTATACTTTTTATATGGCTTCAGTCTATATTTTCACATGTCGATTCTTCTGTAAAAAGTGAATAACAAGTGTAACTTTACATGAGAAATTTCCTCAGAAATTGCGCACTTCCCAAAGTGCAATTTTTGCAGCTATATTGTTTGTAGTCTATTTAGAATCTTTTCAAAACTGCAAGGCAATAATGGAGTGCCCAATGCTTCAATGTTAATGTTCTTCTTCTCATCCCTCTCTTCTTTATTTATAGGATTTCATTCTACTCTATTATTTTTATGCTTTATTTTTTTGGTAGGCGAGGGGCGGATATTTGCATCTCTTGTAATTACAACATCAATAAGACACATGTTTGACTTCTTTTCGTCGAATGTCTGATGACATGATTAAAATAAACCTGTGTATTTTGATAACCATGTTCCATATCATTGTATAACCATTGTTAATTTGTGTTGCTGGCCATTTTCAGAAAATTCCCCAACCAAGTCTTCAACTGCAGCGGCAAGTCAAAACATGACAGTCAGTAGCAACAGCAGTAGTGGCAGCCTAATCAGCAGCAATATTAGATTTAAAGCTCTAAATTTACCCCAACAAATTGAGTAGAAGCGTTGGTTTGTTCATTTGGGGAAGTAATGGTTGTGAGTTCAATCCCTGGTTCGGTCACTGTGTACTTGTACTCAGTGGAAACAGGCGAGCAATAACTGAACATTACTAAATAGCATAAGAACTAGACGATATCCCTAGAGATGAGCAGTGAAACTAGAACAGTCTAAAAATTTCCAGTTTGTCAAATTTCTCCATCATGATTGTAAAGGTAGATATTGTTTAATTCTCCACCCAATTTTCTGGACTATGTTTGTAAATGCTTTATTTTCTTCGTGAAAATGATAAATGCTAAGAATTAATTGAATTGCTGTCTATTTGTAGTGAAAGATCCAATGAATAATTTTATGAGCATTTAAAAAAATAGGACCCTGTGAAATGTGAGATTAACAAATTTATCATATTATATTATAAGAGGCATTTTCCAAATAAAATATTCCAGTATTATGCTGAGTACCATGTGGGGGTATTATAGATAGTCTACTGAAAATCGCAGGGTAAAGGTAACAGACAAAAGAATGTAAAAAGAGAGAAAATAAAAAGGAAAAGAAAGAAGAAAGGGGAGAAAAAAAGAGATAAGAAAGAAAAGGGAAAAGGAAGAAAAAATAAGAAAGAGAAAATATATAGAGGAAGAAGGAAAACGAAAAAGAAACTAAATGTTTTCTTTTTCTTTTTCACACCAAAAACATTAACTTTTCAAAATTTATTTCTGAACTGCGTGAGCATAAAGCAAACATTTTGCTTTCCATTTTTCCTATTTCTACATTTTATACTCTTCTTCTTCTTCCTCTTCTTCTTCTTCTTCTTCTTCTTCTTCTTCTTCTTCAAATTGCAGCAGCATCAAAACACTATCCTATGGTCCATTGGGTAACTACATGCAATTATTAAAAGGTTTTTATTTGGAGATTTATTGGGTTTTCGGAGTTGTCTCCCTTGGGACGTTTCACTCTGCTGTGAGGGACATCACTCGAGTATAAAAGCGAAAAAGGACGCAGAATTGCATATTTTATGCCCGTCTGCCCGTTTATCGGAATACATACATATAGATAGATAGATAGATAGATAGATAGATAGATAGATAGAAAACATATATGCCTATATATATATATATATAAGTATGAGGTAGATTAATACTAAAGTCCAGACATTATATTTTCTAAAAAGAGTGCTCAGTGCAGAATAGAGCTTAATAATAATAATATTTATTAACAATTATAAAAAAAAAAACATGTTATAAACCGCTATATAAATGTAATCATGTTTCGTAGGTTTGTAGGTCATGAAAATTGAGAGATGCTGATCTTTAGAGCTCTCATGAAATAAAAATTATTACCTATGGGATTTTAAGTATTTGATATTCTTTAATTAATAATATATATATATATATATATTGAACAATAAAAAAAATATTAAAAAATTAAACTCTTCAGACACACTGGGTTGTAGATTAATATTCTTTCGTTTTTTATTATTATTTCATTTAGATTCCTCGACTAGTTTCGTCCAAAATGGCCATCATCAGGAGAAGAAATATTTCTGATTGCTGGTAGCACTAAACTACAGAAATAAATGTCTTGATGGAAAAAATGAACTTTTGTCTGTAGTTTTCATTTGTTTTTTTTATTTTTTTATCTTTTTAACATGCATCTTTTAACATTCCTTGTGTTGGTCAAACAGTCTCTTTTAAGTTGTTATTTGAGATAAGAGCTGGATAGATCTATGCTTCTCTGAATTCCCCTGGTCAGTTTGACAGTTTTATTAGTCCTGGAGAGGGGATGTGTCTCTGTTAAGTGTTTGTGTGTGTGTGTTATTTGGTTCTTAGGGGTGAGTGAGTATGACATGTGTAAGCGTGTGTATTGCTGTGGGTGTGTGTATAAGTGTGAGGCCTCCACACCTCCGTAAGCATGTCTGCCTTGTGTGGGTGAGAAATGTGGGTAGGTTTTGATTTGTAAAGTTACATATTAGTACTATCTATAGTGTTAAATTTATGGTTTAGCCCGGCTGGATAGTGTGTTTTTAGACGTTGTATCCACTTATTTTCATGGAACTCTAAAATCTTTCTAATATTATCAACTCTGAACTTTTCTATTCTCTCAATTATAGTGAATTTGGCGTGTTTTTACAGGCGGAAATGGTTGTTCTACAGGTAATAATTTTTCATGGGGAGTCGACTTAATTCGATTGCGATAATTATTAATTCTGTAGTGAAAGGGCCATTCAGATTTTCCTACATAATGTTTCTGGCATAGTGTGCATATATATATATATATATATATATATATATATATATATATTTGCAGAAATATAGTCTTAAGATGTGCTGTATTTATGGGATAAAGTGCTCAATATCAGAAATAGAGCGTGTGTAAATATAAAAGTGAACATAGAAGTCAACATAACAGACGACAGTCTGTTTGATGCTAGATGCAATCGTCAGGCCACGATTACATCTACCATGAAACAGACTGTCGCCTTTAAGTGTTGACTTATGATGTTATATATATATATACATATATATATATATATATATATATATATATATATATATATATATATTCACGATCCTAAAGTGGACTTAAACAAATGAGATTTAAAATATCTAAATAAGCAAAAACTATCACCGTAATCTATTCATACTTACATATAACACATTTCTATGTTATATATATATATATATATATATATATACATTATTATTATTATTATTATTATTATTATTATTTTACCACAATTACGACCACTTTCGTTATTAATATTGTTGTTACCTACCGAAAATAACTACTACTATTATTTTCACTATCAGTACTGCAATCACTTCATAACCAACTCCACTACCATTAGTACTGCTTTTTAACATTGTTTTTATTGTTGTTATTATTATGATCATTATTATCAATATTATTATCATCATCATTATCATGGTTACAGCAACTAATATCATAATTAAGATTGTCATTATTGCCCCCCACACTTTTTCTATTATACTTTTGTTTCCATCACCCTTTGCATATCAATAACTATTATTAACATATTAATAATAATCACAAACAGTCAGCGTTGAAAATACAAATATCATCATCGTGCTCACAAACAGAACCCAACTTGACCAAAGTGGGGGGGGGGAATGATCCAGACCATTAGGATTGTATGTATGCGTCTACATGTGTATATGGATGTGTAATAAAGTGTAAGTTTATCTGACGACGCAGACGGTAAATATGAAAAGCGTCAAGAACACCCCGACCCAGTCCTTGTTGAAACGAAAATCGCTACACGTAAAAAGCC